TCACCCGGGATTACAGCAGGGATTTAAGTCTATCTATGCCAGATTTAGGGAGAATTATCTCAAAGAATATAGATTTTTAAAAAAACCCATAAAGCAGCTTTCTGGTTTTAACATAAGTGTGTTGTTCTTAATCGCCAATAGAGACGGTAACATGCCAGCACGGTGTGTGCTGTGGGAACATTGAGACACTGCGCCCTGCAGTTTTGACTGAAGGCACGTTCACGACAAGCAGGCAAAAAAATGTGTCCTTACAAACTCTTTCAAACATGTAAGTATATTTCACAAGTTATGAAGGTGCCAAAACTACACAAACTATTAGTAGTAGTCATTGTAAAACCATCGATGGTCTTATTGGGCAGCCCAGTGGTGGTTTCATTAGAAGCTCCACCACAACCATCACAGCCATTTGCCTAATCCTAACCCAACAAAATGTTCTCAAAAGGTCCAAAAGTGGTCCTCACAGATACAGAAGAACACAAACACACACATGCCTGGTATTTAGGGATTATTGGACAATCTAAACTAGATTAGAAAGTATAAATCCCATCAGAGAAACCTGATCCAAACCAATCCTCTAATCTGATTTGACCTGGCTGTTAGGATGTGAATCAGCTCTGATACACATGTGGTCAGCACTCTGTGTGTGTGTGTGTGTGTCCATCCCCTCAAAGGTGTGATGAATGTGAGAGTTGTGCCGCTGTGGCGCCATCCACGACTGCTGTAAATACACTTAACAGTCAGTGCACACGGTGCTACACTATGATGGACACACACGGTCACAGTATAGGCGGCGGGGGGTGTTTCAGTTTTTATTGAGCTCCTTCAAATGATGTCCAGTCTTTTACTGGGAATAGGATGCTTCTTCCTGTCAATAAACACTCACCCACACACACTTTACACATGTTCAGCCTTGAGCGACATTCACTGGGTTAACACAAAACAACAGATAGAAAATAGGGCTGGCCTCTATCAGGGCTGCACCTGGGGACTGTTTATTATCAATCGATCAGCCAATTACTTATTTTTAAATTATATTAGATATTGCCAAAGCTACATATAAATTACACAACAATTAATTTCATACATTTAATTAAATAAGTAAATAAAACAGAAGAAGTTGTTTGTTTTAATAAAAAATAAATAATAATAATTAAGAATATATATATAAAATATACAAGTTCCGTAAAAATAAATATTAAAAATAAAAGTAAATAAATAAAACAGTAAAGCGTCTGGGTTAAAGAAAATATATAAAAATAAGCTAATTATTTAGTTACTTATTTTTATTAAGTCTCTAAAATGTAAGATTATAGTGAAGAATCCCCACCATGAAAGGAAAATATTAAGTCTATGATCATATAAAACATGGAAAAGCCCTGAAGAGTTGGCATTTGCATTATAAATAACTTAATTTATTATTAACTTAATTAATCACATATTAAAATAGTTGTCAGCTGAAAGTTTTTAACTGATGATAAAAGCGGCAGCAGACATATTAAGATCTATTTTCAGCCCCACTGCGGTAAAGCTTTAAAACCCATTAGTCAATCAACAGACAATTTATTTATTTTTATAATTGATTAATGGTTTCAGTTATATTTAATATCCAAACAAACATGAGGATGTGTTGCTTTTCTTAGGTTTATATTGTAAACATTTCGAAACAACTGGACAATGAAATTATTGTTAGCTGCCCCCCCATGTCAGCAAGTCATTCAGTCTGTCCAACACTTCTGCATTGTGGATAATGAACCTTGAACCTTCTTTTATGATAAGACTGAATATTTTTGAGATTTTAAACTGACAATGTGACATTGAAGAGGTCTCCTTGGGTTGTGATGGACATTTTGTCTTCTGATGTTTAATAGACAAAACAAGTCATTGAGAAAATGATCCGCAGAATATTTGATGATGATAAAGAGTGTGTGACTCCCAGCTCTACATTCTTAGCCCCACCACTGGTTACAAGAACAGCTAACAGCAGCAGAATAGCTAATAGCACGTACGGACCAGCAGTAGAAGCCTCGTGTTCAGGCCGAACGTGAAGCAAATTTTGGAGGAAGCTCAAGAGCTCAGAGTCGTTCGAAAGATGCGAACGGGAAACATTTCCTGAGATGTTTCAAAGGCAAAAATAAGCACTTATTTCAAAGCTGTTAGAAACGTCAAGAATAGGGTTGGGTATCCAGAACCGGTACCAAATTTCCAAGAACCGTGGATCTGTTAAGACCCTTGCATCTCAATTCTGCTCCTCTGTTCCTAACTTCCTGCATATCTCAGCTCCTGACTGAACTGCAGTGAGCATTTTACAGTTCATAAAAGTGTCTCTTATCTGGCAGGAGCTGCTACGCCGACCTGACGTCACCTCATGTGTTACGTCAACAAAGCATGAAGAAGAGAGTCCTTCTGTTTCCAGTCCTGGACCGTGGCGGACCGCAGCAAACGCTCCAAAGTTTGGCTTAGCTTCACTTAAAAAAAAAAAAAAGAGAACAACACAGCAAAATGCAACAGCTGCAGTAAGGAGGTTTGGTGCGAGGGAGGAAGCAGCTCTAACATGACGAAGCGTTTCCTTCAACACGGCGTGAATCTGAAGGAACGCACCGTGTTCAAGGTGTCACGCTCTCCCAGCTACACTGATGCCCCAGATATAACAAACAGTATCAACGTCTCCAGCACAAAACACAGGTGAGCTGACGTTCACCTTTTATACTGAAGGGAAATGAATGATGTCTACAAATGACTCAACATATAGTTTTCTTAGAGACGAGTCCCCAGAGACGCCCCCTCTAGGACAGAGACTCCTTTCACTTTAGACATGAAGGGGAAGAGGAGCAAGAGGACAAAGGTCAGCGAGCGCTGACAAGATCTGTGGTGAAGTGACTGGAATCAGAAAAAGAGGTTTAATAAGTAGAATTGGAATCAATAAAATTGACCGTACTGAAAGTACAAAAGAGGAAGAAGAAGAGAAAGTGGAAGAAAACAGCAAGAACAGGAGTTCCTTGTATATTCAGAGCTGTCATCAGGCTGCTGTCTGGATCTTTCAAAAGGGATTTGGTTATAAAAACAGTCAAATTAAAAGCAAAACATTGGCTCAGTAGTTTTGATTCAACGTCATATCTGATCTTTAACAATCCTCAAACTCTCTCACAGACTAATAAAGTCTGTAGTTATTTCCCTGCTCAGCCAGGTCTTCAGATCTTTCTAATTACTCATTTAGCTCTCACGTCGACCTTCTTCCCCGCTGCCTTTGTTTCATTTTATCCTGTTTTATCTTTCTCCCTCTGCCACTCTTCACCTCCCAAGCTCCTTTTCTGTAAAAAAAATAATAATAATAATTTAAAAGGCAATAACTGTCAGGACATATCACGGCTCTGACACACACACAGAGGGAAGATCACAGGGTACCCGGTAAACTGTAATGAAAGGAAGTAAAACTAGATGCCTGCAATACAGCCCACGTCTTTCTCCCTCTGTCTCTCACACACAAACATTCTTTTTCAACAAGCGGAAACATGCTTGTTCGGTAGAGATCCCAGCAAAAATCATATCATCATTTTTATATTTTTTTCAGTGGAAATTATGATAATATTATAATGCAAAAGTTACCATTCCCACTAAATTCATGACTCACATTGCAATACCTGTAATCACATATTGTTCAGCCCTACTCCAGATCATGTGTGTACTTGTACTGTGCAGTTACACTAATATGATAAAGACTGCAGAAAGACTAGTTAGGAGACAACAACAAAAAGCTACAAAACATCCTGTTTCTGTCACTCAAAATGGCAGCAAAGGTGGCCCAAAACTACCATTGAACAATACCATAATGCCACCCCATCTATGAAAGGGCAATGAAAAGGAGTACTTAGGACTGTGGGGGAACCACTGATGTAGAGGATGCATACTGCACTGGAATCAAATCTAGTAAATGGAGGCAGCATCAAGTCATAAATGTGGGAAGAGAGAAGAAAGAAGAGCTTTCTCTTTGACTTTGCAAGCAACATTTTTATTTTCCCCCTGTTAATATAAATGACCGGTTTCATTTTTACATGCTTATATCAGAGGTGACCCATTTCCATGAATAAATGGCTTAGTCATTTCCCAGTGTCCTAAAGATGTCACTGGGGTCCCTCACTTTCACCAAAAGAAGAGTTTTAATTAAACCCATAAATCACAACTCTAGGAACAGACTCACCACTTGTATCCCTTACAGTTACCTTAATATGAAATGTTTAAATGGATGTTAAAGCTTGGAGTTACGGGATTTGTAAATAATCTTTTGAGCGTTTACATTAAAAGTAACGAAAATCATGTTCTACAAGGGAGACGCTCTGTTGTCTGGCGAGTGGAGAAATTTCGCACCAAACTCCGTTAGCAAAACACACAATTTTATCTGCTCCTGATTTTTGACAGACGGACACGTATTGGAGAACACGAATGAAGATATTTTTGGACAATATCTGACTCATTCTTACATTCGTCATGTATATAATCAATGCATCGGCACTATAGCTACTTAAGCAAACATCAACACTTTTTTTCTCTTCCGCTGACTGGTAGCAATCACAACGAAGGGAAACCGGGTGAAACCAACAAAATTATTCTAGTTTTAAGTTCTAAAATTGTTTAACTGCTGCATGTAGACTGGATGTGCTTAAAGTCACCCGAACCGTAGCTACAATTATCCGGAAAGGCAAGAGAGTTCCGTTTAAACTGGAACATTAATCGATACGTTAAATTGGCAGATTTTTATATTAAGTTTGGCCTACAAACACGCATCTCCAGACAAGGGAGCGAAAAGCGGCCAACTGCGTTCATGCAAATGCCAGAACAACAGACGAGCAGCTGCAGCCACTCAGTCGCATCATCTCTATCGCTTCCATGCGGTTTCCCTCCGGGACAAACGCCCATTTTCCAGTCGGCAGAAGAAACACAGGTGTGAAGATCTAATTAAACTCACACAATGCATTAATACTGAGGCAGATATCATTCAAACCTACCGCCTGCAGCTTGTGCCGAACGGCCGCCTTTCCGAGCAGCGGCGGCGGCGGGTCACCCTTCTTCTGCAGCCCTCTCCGCGGGAGATCCCAGTCGGCTTTGTTGAGTCCCCCGGCTCGGTCCTCTCTCTTCTCCCGGCTCCGGGCGCCTCCGTCCCCGCCGGCAGAGTCCAGGCTGCTGAAGTTCCACACGATGAGAGTCTGGACCAGCAGGACGGCCAGAGCGGCGACCAGCAGGGCGGACTTGGAGCGCCGGGCCAGCCTGCGGGCACACGGGTTACCGTTCATGTTTCTCCTCCTCCTCCTCCTCCCTCCGGCTCAAGCTGAGAGCCCCATCCGCTAAACGCCGACAGCGGGGTGTGAATGCTCCCCTACGCGGCCTGAGAGAGGCTACTGGCAGGCAGAGAGGAGGAGGAGGAGGGAGGAGGGGGGAGGGAGGAGGGAGGGAATTTGGCAAAGGCTTGAAAAGAGGAGAGAGGTTTGGAGGCAACAGAGAGAACACAGAGGCCCTCATGTGGACATTAACGAGTCAACAGTTTAGTGAAAGCATTTATTTTCTCATTTAGAGCAAATGACGTCGGTGCAGTTTGTGAGCCAGTCAAGAAGAGAAGAGAAGCCCCTGCTGCCAGAGCCGGACAGCATTTAAATACCCCCAGCATGCAAATACAAATAATTATGTAATTTATTTTTACCTAGACTCAAAGAATAAAGTATAATGTTTTTTTTTTTATGTATGAATGTTGCTATTACTACTACAGTTGTTATGTTTTGTACGGAAGCCCTAAGTGGCCAAGTGACTCAAATAATTTTTTACTCCCTTTTCCCCAGGATAACTGGATACTTTTCTCGTTTCCCTCAAGATAACAAAACAGTTTAACACCGGGGTCGGCAGGAGTGTTTCTCAATCCAATTTCAATAACATGTTGTTAATGTTTGGTTATAATCCCTCCTTTTTAAAAAAAATACTTTTTAGCTTAAATTCAGCTAGACATCCGTGCTATGACTTGTCTATAACCTAATGCATAACAGGCCATGAATTAACAGGCCCACACATTAAAGGGGCCCCGCCTCCATGACCTCCTGGTACACAATAGTGAAAGGTGTGCCCTATAAGCCACACCCCCAGCACTGGCAGGGTGCACAGTAGATCACCAGGGGATCTTGGCCCAATCCCAAAGTCTGCAGAAATGCGGACTTACGAAAAGGGTCTCTAAAGGGCTCAAAATGTCTGTGAGAGAGCCCTCGCGCACTTGGCGATTTGACAGTGTAGCATGAGGTCTTAATTAAAAAACGGTCTATTTCTACAGCATTTCTGACCAACCCTGAGAAGTGGGTGGAAAGGGAGGGAAAATTAAATAAATTAGATTTACCTATGTATGTCTTGAATTCACAATGTATGCCACTACACACCAGTTTGCACAAACTATGCACTTGAAATAAATCACAGAAAAAACAATGCCATCAATCAGTGGAGCTGCCACCCGAGGATCCTGCTGATTACTGGCAATTTGGAGGATTGTTCTTTATCTGAGTTGCACTGTCACTTCTACCAAAGACTCATTAACTTTTGTGGTGTGTTTTGATTTTACTTATTAACACACTGTATATATAAATTAAGAAAGTGTGATGTTTGTCCACATATATTATCAGAACTACATACAGAGCCCCCAGGAGTCAAAACTAAAGTGGAAAATACAAGCTAAAAAACAAAAGACAACAAAAAACCCCTCAACAGCAGTGTGTTGCTTTCTCCACCTGTTTCTAAGGTGAAATCATGACCTCGTCATCATAGAAACCATAACAGACAAGCTAGACTGAGAAGTGACACTTTCAGTTTTTCAGTTCCTCCTGGGGGCTCTGAAGAACTGCTTGTGGATAATAATTTCAGGTTATGTACATTATTTTTTATATACAAAAGACGAATAGAATATGAGTAGATACTTTATTTTACAAGTTCCTGCACACTGTGTACTTATTTGTAATTAAATGTATCTAAACTTTTACCTAGGTATATTTTATTATGTCGTTATGTTATATACTCATAATTATACACACCGTGCATTCTGCATTTCTTTTATGTGTCTTTGTAAATTCCATAAAAACTCATAAATCTCCTTCCAAACAGAGGTTTTCTATTTAACCGAAAAAGCCTGGCCAGGAGATCACGTCTGTACGGCCAAAGACCCGAGCCACGCTGATCTTGGCACCTGCTGTATCAGGGTCAGTAAATTGATGAAGAAAGAAATTAATTTGCCAATTTATTTTAATAAATTGACGTATAAGAATACAGGAATAACGCAGGCCGAGGTGAGGATCCCTCACCGAATCACACAAATGTTGAGATCTAAAATACATCTCAACCAAAGGCCTCAACCCCTACCGGATCTCTGGCACAGTTTGGTACTTCCCTAAAATGCTGACAAAACACTCTAATCTATGATCTCATCTTAGTTCTGACTAATTCAACCAATACTGGGTTCAACGTCCAGGTCTTGGGTAACTTCTTGGGTAAAACCACCTATTAATCATATGTCAGAAACACAGACAGAGGGTGTACTCACTTCACCAAACCTCATACAGAATAAATATATCAATGCACGGGTTCTCTTCTCTGTGATTATTAAAAATCTTATAATCTTCTCAAACCCATAACTGAATACAGACTCATATATGACCTCAATCAATGATTAGCTTGTTCTAAACAGTCCATCAGATTGTGTTTAATGACCCACTTCTTCTTCTCGGCGAGCACTGTGTTAATTATTAGATTTTCTGTGTTGGTTGTCTTGGCCCCAGCGAGCAGGGTCAGGGCAGGTCACCGGGTTCATTTTTCTGGAGCTGTTTTGCACATCTTGCAACTTTCCCTCTGCAACAGCTTCTTCCCCCTGAGCTGTCAGATGTTTGATTTCCCTGCTGCCGCCCACTGCAGGAGCAACAACCACACACTGCATTCCACTGCATACTGTGCACATCACATACACGACTGTACATGTTGCACATTATCTCACATTATGCACAACTGTCCGCTAAATTAAGCTATCATAACAAAACATAGGCTAAAACATAATATCAAGTAACCTTAGACATGCATTTAAACTACAACAAAATGGGGAGCCACGCCTTGCCAAAATATCATACACACTCACTGGACCTGGGGAGACCTCCCCCGGGAAAATTTTATCTCTACACACTTCATTTCCTGCATTCTGGTGAACGTTTCCGCACCAATTTAAGGTGGAAATGTTTTCATTTATGTAAAAGGAAACACAAAATTCAGGAGACATTTCCAAAATATATAAATATAACAGAATCTAAGTCAGTGCAGCTCTCAGTCATTCTGTGCTGCTTTCAGATCTGTTTCTCCTGCAGATCAACTTTTCTCATGTAATATCACAAATTATATATATATATAACAAATTATGTTTTAACAAAAATCAGCCATTTCAAAAAGTGATGGGGACATGTCCCCAGTGTCCCCAGTGTAAATGACACCTATGGCTGTATGAATAAGATTTCCAGGTGTTTAAAAGTCCCACGGTGAAACACTGCTCTGCAAATGTCTAATATCAAGACAGCTCAAGTTTTTAAAAAATGATACCAGTCTCTTTTCTCAGGTCTCCCACATCAAAGCACACACATTGTTTTCATATCACCAGCACTCAGTAAGATCTACAGTGAGCTGTGAGGAATTTTTTGATTAATTGTTACAGTATTAAAACACAAAGATGACATAGAAACCAAATAAAGTTTAAACAGCACTTGAAGGAAGCCGTGATGCAAAGAACAGAGAAACTTCACCACTGGTGACTCACGATGTGTCACATTTTACCTTTTTGGTAAATTTGCAGCAGAGAGCCAGAGCAGAAACAAAAAGGTTTATGAGTCAGCAGTTAAACTCGCAGAAGGGAAAACTGTGTGTGATCAACCATTTTGTTTTTAACATTCACTTTTCATGTTAAGCTGTTCATTCGTCTTTGAAGTAAAGTAGTGAGGTGGAGGTGGTTTCATCAGTCATGGAATAATCAACACAGATGTGGACGCTGGGGACACCACTTTTTGAAGTGGCAGATTTTGTCCCCATCACTTTTTTAAAAACATAATTTGTTAAGAAACATTCTGAAATATAGCTTGCAGTTAAATAACATGAAAATGCCTTTAGAAAAGTGTATTTGCACAATGAGAAAACATGCATTGCACTTAAAATACAGAAGAAACAAATGTGAATTGTCCAAAAAAAGTAACTTAAGCTAAAAAAAATGACCCAAAAACGTGCAGCACCGATCAGTAACTTTAACAACTTCATGACACAGTTTCTTTTAGGCCATGTTTTCCGTTCGCTCCCTTTGAACATGACAAAAGAAGAGGGAAGACTAAATCCTGCCTGCATGTGTGTTGCCTCAGGGGGGATGATATTACATGAGAAAAGTTGATCTGCAGGAGAAACAGATCTGAAAGTAGCACAGAATGACTGAGAGCAGCAGGACTGAAGCAAAGATTAGATTTTCTGCGTCTGCCAGTATGCGAAGGTCCGCTAGGGTCCGCATGACAAAACAAATGGTCATCAGAGAGGGTACGCGTAGCGTCTGTGCAGACGTCTGCGCGCCTCCCATTTTTTGTGACTACACGGATGCATCTAGTGCTACCAGGGCACCAACTGATCTACTGTGTCTGTGTTGAACGTGTCCTCCAAGCTGACTACAGAAAGTAGTATAAACAGTAGTAGTCCGCTCCTGAGTATATTCAAGGCTTTAGATGCTGTTAGATTTATATATTTTGAAATGTCATGTGCTACCTTAATTTTTTGTGTTTCCTTTTACATAAATAAAAACATTTCCACCATAAATTGGTGCAGAAACATTCACCAGAATGCAGGAAATTAAGTGTTTATTGATCAAAATACCTGGGGGAGAATTTAAGTAGCTTGTGTGTCCACAGTTTATGGCGGCTGTGAACCAGTGATCAGGTCGCCTCACTGCTGGATGCGTAACATTGTGTTAGTCTAGAGAGTATTTGGTGTGTTTGTATTTCTCAGTATTGCCTGTCTGTTGCCTGTGTGAGTGGCTTCAGTCAGTGCTTTTGGAACCTCTGTAAATTGACCAGTTTGATAAAGTGCACCAAGAGTTGGACACTCTTTAGTTTGAGACCTCTAAGTTTGCAGAATAACTGCTAGTTTGTTTTCATCCATTGTATTTTGGAAGCTTATGGGTGCTGACCTCTTTTTGTTCTTTAGCGTTTTTTTGAGCCAAGAGCTAAGTAATTGTCTTTGGACAAGACCCTCTTTTGTTTCATTTCTTCAGTTGTTGTCAGCACCTCTATAGCCTCTTTATGGTGTATTTCCTGTGCAAGCGCTCTCCTTGGTTAATTAAACACCTGACTTGAAACAGAACCCTTCCAGTTGTCGCATTCAACCTCATTTCCAAATTATATGTTACTGCTCTCCAAGACGAGCCGGGTCATAACAATAGGTTAGGTTGACTCTAAAGGTATGAATGTGAGTGTGAGCGGTTGTTCGTTTCTGTGGCCTGCGATGGACTGGCGACTTGTCCAGGGTGTACCCTGCCTCGGGCCCTATGCCAGCTGGGATCGGCTCCAGCCGGCTGCGACCCTGGACGGATAAGCAGGTATAGAAGATGACAAGACTGACAATTCTGATCAAATATGTGCACAAGTCAGAGCAAACACTAAGGATTTATAGACTGATTTCTCAGCAAAAAATGAATTTTAGTTTGACTCAAAACAAAAGTTTTGTTACTAACAAAATATACAGGAAGTGAGGCAAATATAGCACACAAAAATCAAGCTGGAAAATCTGTCAAACACTGGTCACAAGAAGGCAATTTAATTCAGTCAACAAATTGTTCAGCTTTAAATAAAAAGAAAGTCACGCTCTGATTGTAGAGCAAAACATCTTGGAGCAGAAGTGAAAAGCCACCAATAATCAGTTGTTCATTTCATGCTCATTCCT